TCGCATACAGCGTGACGCGTACACTAAATACTCACGTAAGTACATGTCTCTTGCGAGAAATACTTGTTGTACTTTTAATTCACATGTACTGTGCTCGGACACGCGCCGGACCGTATGTAGGCGACGTGTACAAGTGTACGTACACGCAGCAACCTGGCGATGTGTACATGTGTACACCGCACACAAGTGTCCAGCGCCAAGGCCACACGTAATTACCCATTACAACCATGGTGAGCAACTTGAAACCCCCGAAATGATGTAATTAAAACGTATACCGATCATTCAAGATATATCACCAGCATGCCTGCATATAAGTGGACAATAACAGACCAATAGAATTGCAGCATTCGAACCGACACCCAATAGATTTGCAGTATTGCCTATGTAGCCCTATAACGGTTCGGGCCAAATGCAAATTTTCGGCATTTATGCAAATTTGCATGACCCTCCAAAAGTCCACTTTCGTCCCCAGAACCCCAAAATCTGAGACTTTACACGTGTCATATGGTGATATGGGGTGAGGGTCCGGACCGTCGAGTCATGTACACGTGTTGCTCGATTTTGCACTTTCCAGATACCAGCATGTGGTCGCACATTTTCAATAGCTGCAGTCGAGGCATTGCCCGCCCCAGCATTTAATATCCGACGCTCCTCTGCCATCAGGGGGCACTGCAACTCCTGCAGCCCAGCCTCCTCCCTCTTCGTAACCTCCTGTTCCGCTTTCCACCACTTCCGGACGTCAGCTCGCGCTGCAGAAGCGTCTCCACCCGCACGGCGACAGCTGCGCCCAAGACTCCGTCGTCCGCGCAGACGTGCCACACGCCCGCGGTGCGCCTGCCCCACACGCGCGCCGCTGCCGTCGCGCCGGCAAAGTTGATCGCGGAGAAGAGGCTGGCTCGTGCACAAAGAGCAGGAGAGCTGATAGGACAGCCGATCTGCACCGCCAGATCGCGCGCTCATCCCTCACGTCGTCATCGAGACGCACGCCGAGTTGGTGGCGCGCAACGCCGTCGACCTCTTGTCTCCGCCGACCCTTCCGCGCTCCATGAGCCCTTCGTACAGCTGCCTCTCGTCCAGCTCGCCCTCCATCCCGTACCTGCTCTTCGCCGACACGTTCTCCATCCGCAAGTACCTCCCGATCCAGCGCATTAGCTCCCCAGCGTCATACAGGTTGATCACCTCGTCGTACCGCCGATAAATCCCCCGCATCCTCTCAGTGTCACTCTGCCCTGTTCCCGTCGTAAAATTGGTGCAGGTTGCACCTGAGCAACTTTCCCACGAACGTCCGATAGCTCTACCGATAATTCACCCCGAAATGCTTCCCCTTCAACATCCGATTGAAAAGAAACATGCTTCCCCACCGCATCGCGTAGCCCACCTCGCCAGTTGCGTAACAGCGATTTTAACATTGCCACCCCCACAATATTATCAATCTTATCCTCGAAAACAGGCATCCGTCAGTAGTGAGACTCAAAATCTTATTCCAGCAGCTCAGTCAAAGTGCTGGTAACCGTAAAAGCTGTTGTAATTCTACGACCACATGCTGATATGCATGACACACGACGACAGGTATGACACGTGTAAAAGAAAAAACACTCCACGTGACGAGCTGAGCAAGTTTGGTTTTCGACGTGTACACGTGTGAAATATGTGCACGGTTGCGGTGTACTGTACAATCTGAGCATGTTGTATTTTCTCCGCCCGACACGTGTATGACCTGGACACATGTCCTCATTACACTGTCGGACGTGTACAGTACGCCTGTAGTCTTGCAGACAAAGTGTAGAACCTTGGTGGCGGGTGCCTGGCACGTGCCAAATGTTTACAGCGTCCATGGAGTGCAGCACGGGTACAGCAGGACACAAAGATACCGTTGCGCGAGTTTTGAATTCGTAAGGCAAAATGTGCACTGTTGTAATTGACAGTGGACAGGACCTCACGAGAGATTCAGATTCATAAGGCAACGTGTGCGCTGTAAACAGTCCTTGCAGGATTGATTTGAATTCGTAAGGCAACGTGTGAGCTGTGAACGTGCCTTACGAATTTGTGCCACGCTGGATTTGGAATAGTAAGGGAATTTGTGCTTTGCTGTGCTTTGTTGTACTGCCTTACTAATTTCTCCGTCATGACAGTGCTAATTCGTAAGGCGGTTTTCTGTTCTGTTTGTTGGGCCATCGCCAGTTTGGCTGAGTAGCAAGACGGGCACATGTGTTAGAGCCAATACATTTGTAGTATGTGTGTCGTAGTGTTTGGTAGTAGAGTTCTAGAAGATTGCAGAAGTGTATAAGTAGTGCCAGAAGTTGGCGACTCAAAGTAAATCGGTACCCAATCCTTCAACTTCACCTCATCAACCGTCCTCCGATTTCCCTTTGCCCTGCTGACCTACCATTAAAAGCAACGGCGTCAGCTCTGGGACGCATGAGATTTCGGACATCGGTCTCGTCCAAGTCGAGCACGTCGTGAATAATCTGAGACTCGTAATTCTCCATACCGCCTGAGCCACTAGCGCCCGCAACAACGCAGAGCCACTCCGTTGTTCCGTCTTTTTCAATCGCCATGGTATACAGCCATGCCGCCTGCTCTATGTTACGGCCCACCCCGTCCGCCCCGTGCTGCATCAGCGTGCCAAGATGCATCATACCGTCTTCCTCAATCGCATCCTCAAGCAGCTTCGCAGCCCGCGCAGCGTTCTGCAACCCCATCTCCTCCATCTGTCAGGAGGAGAGCCAGATTCAACTTAGTGTTACCGCTGCGCACGCTCGTACAGCTCCAGAGCGCGGACCTCGTCCATTTCCACTCCTTCCGTGCCGTGATGTAGCAGCAGACCAAGATTGTCCCATGCATGCACATCGTCCCTCCTGTCAATCGCAAGCTCGTACAGCTCTGAGGCGCGAACCCCGTTCTTCACGACCCCCCCGCGCCGTCCTGCAGTAGGAGGCCGAGATGCACCATCTCCCATTCGTACAGCGTTAACCACGTTCGTCTCGACTCCCTCAGTGCCCTTGTGAAGGAAGAGACTGAGATTGACCATCGAAGCGACATCATTACCCTTCTCGATCGCACGCTCGAACTTGTCTATGCCGTGTTTCTCTCGAATCCCTCCACATCATATACCAGCAGCGTGCTGAAATTGAATATAGAATGGACATGATCTTGTTCCTCAATCGCCCTCCTCTATAGTTTGACAGCCCGCGCTCCATCCTTCCCAACTCCGTCGTTCCCATCCCTCATTACGTTGCCAAGCTTGTATATCGCGTCGACACACAGGTCTACTTCGATCGCACGTTCGTACAACTACACGGCGCAAGCCGCGTTCCTATCGACCCCCTCTGCGCTCTTCTACAACAGCAAGCCGAGAGCGACCATCGCGCTGACGTCATTCTTGTCGATCGCGTTTTCGTACAACTATGCAGCACGGACTGCATTCATGTCGACCCCGTCTGCCCCCTTCTCCAGTGGTGTGCCGAGGCTCACCATCGCGGCGATATGACCGTGATCCCCAATCGCACGTAGGTTCTCAGTTCGATCCCTCTCTCCATCTACTTTTTGATGCGTACTTATCTCTCTGCTTAACCGCAGTGTTGGAACACCTCCCGTCGACTTCCCCAATGAAATTGAACTCAAGAACCTCCTGAAGTTGGCTTGACCCTTTTCTTCCGACTGCTGTGAAGTTTGATAAGAAGATCTTCTCTGTAGCTCGTGCCACGTTTGATCATCTTAACGTAGTATTTCATTCGTTCACGGAACTGAACGTTTTCATCGTGCTTCTTCTTTGGTCAACGTAGTCAAGTTCTATGGCTGTACGACGATGAGCTGCCAGAAAAGGCTCGAATCGATCATTCTTGGGAGTACCTTGACACTTGTGTGTACTGAGTAGCTGTGGCAATGGAAGGCGTGTCGGCATTAGGGAACATCGGAGCGTCGAGCATGGTGATATATGAGCAGTGGCGCGCTCGGGTGTGGGAAACGAAAGAGGTGTCCGACCCCGACTACCTGCCAACCGAAAACGTCAACCTGTTTTTCGATATATGTTACAAACAATTACGACATGCTGGATTTTTTGAAATCATCCGCCTGCACTGTTGCACAATCGTGCCTGTAGCCGCTAGCATTCCCACGCACAGAGAGCGACCTTCAACAATACTTTGAGCTTCGGTGGCGATTTTTTTACGATTCGCGATGTGGGCAAGCTGGGCACCATGCTCATCTGCTTCGTCCAGGTCATGCTGTGCGGCTTCGACGTCGTCTAAGGTATGAGAAGACACCGTCACTGCCCTCGTCTGCTGTTCGTTCTTAGAGTGCGGGATGTGGGGCGCGGTGCAATTTACGTTGAACATGCTAGCGCAAGAAATGCTTGGTTGTTCGGGGGAGGCACAGACGGACGGATCGCCGGGAATTCATTGTTGTGTACTATTCGAACCTTTTTGGTATAGCACTAGTATTTACGTTCTATTACAAGCCTCCAGGTTTGAGTACTACCCCTCGCCGTCGAAACGTATCGGATCAAACTGGGAAGACGTGAGCTCGCTAACGCCCACAAAGCCATCGCACACATCTCCGATCCAATCGCAGACATATTTCTTGAATGCTGAAGGTCTGAGAACGACGCGGTCGCAGTCCTTGCCCTCCTTTATCGAATACGAGCAGACGTACGAAAAGGTTATCTCCCTCGTATCGTTTGCATGCTCAAAAGTCTCCCCGCTGGCATCAGAGATCAGAGTCTTCTCCAGCTCTTCTGGAGCAACCCTTTCAACTATTTCGCGCAACGTTTCGTGAATACCCAGCGTTGCTTTCGGTAACAAATGTGAAAGCACGTCAGTGAACATGGCGTGCGAAACTCCACCTTTGCTCAGAACCTTCAGCAACGCCGAGTGTATATCGCTCTCCTCTGCACCATCGTCGGATAATTTTGTCGCAATGCCCAGCGCTGTCCTCGCCAGTGCCACCTGCATTACGCAGCGCGTCGCGATCCAGGCATCGAGGCGGGCGAGCGTCAAAATTTATGCTACACCAGCCCTGAGGCGCTCCTTTCCCAATCGTAGTCCAGCCCACTCCTTGTAAATATCCCGAGCGGTGTCAAAAACGAAAAAGATGTCAACGCCACTCTCTCCAATATTATCGCTCTCTGAATGCCCAGGCGGCACCACTGTACGCCAGTGGTCTAGGCTACCAGAGGTAATACAGTCAATACATGCTCGCATAATTTTGTCGATCCCGCCGCTGTCATCATCTGCAAACGCAATTCCCATCATTTTCACGTCTTCGCCAGCAGCATTGTTCAGAGCATGAATGATGTAGTCGACTGAGGCACTCTTCAGCTTGTTTTGAACCGGAATACAACTGACGTCCCACACCTTGGCCACCCTGGTCCAAACCGTTCGCTTGAGGCTGGACATATATGACGACGCCTTGTCAGCCACCTCCGCAGAGAGCTTAGATGCCCCTTGAATGCCATTGAAGATGCATGCGCCCGAAATCTCCTCCTTGGATGCTGCTCTAAGAGCACTGGTAAGCGATCCGCTTTCGAGAGCCATCTTGTATGCAGTGCGAGCCAGAATGGTAGGAGACAATTGCGGCGGTAGAAGTGCGCCGTTTGTAATGCCTAGCTTCGCCACATCGAATGGTGGTACCGCCGCTCGAGTGCCGCCTCCCAGCCGTCCGATCCCATCGCCTTCAGCGATCTTCAGAGGCGAGGGAACCCATCGATAGTCTGCAATTCTTGGCGACTGCTCCATCGGAGTAAAGTTGCGCATGCAACGACGCGCAATGTCATCAGAGGCATATTTCATCACCACGACAACGTCGCGTTGAAGCGGGGTGATTGTGTCAAGGAATGGCTCGTCCTTTTGACGCTTCTTCTTGGTCGCAATGACTGCGCGCTTGGCAGCGGCGGCAGCCTGGCGTCCTCCACGAGATGAACCTGCAACCAGAACCTCCAGCGCAGCCTTGGCATGCGAGAGCTCCATCACCTGCGCATTCAGCCGAGCAACCTCGATCATTAACGAATTGATCTTGTCACCTTGTAGCTTTTTCACTTCTTGCATTTTCTGCATATAAATGTGTGGCTCATCAGCCCTGGCTCTCTCACGGTTGAGCAGTGATGCGATCTGCCGCTGCAGTACAGCTGCGTCGACACCCGCGGCCGTGTCGCCAGTCGACGCTCCGGCGACAACAGCGGGGGGCGAAGAACTTCGGTCCGGGGGAAGGACATCTGTAGCGCGACTGAGGTTGGGGACCGTAGAATGCGAGTGTAGTACCACGTTGGTGGCCAGAGGCCCGATTTCACTGTCTAGCCGCGTCGGGATCGCCGCGCTCAAGTCGAGAGCGCCAGCATCTCCCTCCCTGCTCTCGGGCTCATGGCTTGAGATTCCGTGGCTTCCGCGGTTGGCTCTTTTCCTTTTACGAGCCACTGAGGGAAGTCCGCAATCAGCCACGGTTCTGGTCTCGGAAGCGAGGCCACGCCGCAATCGCTTGCTTCTGTGGACCGGTGACTCCGGTTCCTCATCCAGCCTCCCCCACCGGTGGCCCACAGTCATCAGGCAGGCCGAAACAGTGGTGCGCCGACGGACCTGAGGTTCAGACCTCAGGAGAATTGGTGAAGCTGCGTACGTACTCGTCCTCGCCAGACTACTCCACCGCAGAAAATTGCGCCTGCCTGAGGCACTAACTCAAGCTTTACGCCGGCAGTAAATTTTTGCTGGAGTAAATTGCTCGTGACCGTTACAGAATTATGTGGCGATAGTTTAATTGCGAAACATTATAGTCAAATTTACGCTAGTAAAGTTGAAAGTTTTATTTGAAGCCCTTCTGTAGTCGACGACCATTGCCGCACGCGACGAGCGCGTCGGCACGTCAGAGGAAGGCGAAATAAGCCTACAAAGAGCTGCGCGACGGCGCTGAGTGAATGCGATCCAAGTTCGCCCGGTTCACATGCGGGATAGAGACAACAACTTTTTCAGCCCTTCCAATTTTTCCTGCAAGTCTATCGGGTGGCGTCCAGGCGCGACGTGTGGGTCGAGAAAGACGGGAGAAATACATGCGGCGCTGATCTAGAGGAATTGAGGGCGTGTGTATACTGGTAGCATTTCGCATCTGGCACGAGTGATAGTACTGTACCAAGCAACAGTAGGATGAGTGTGGAACGGGGGGGTTTCGGGGTTTGTCGCTGCGATTGGGGAGACCAGACATGGTGCGTTTCAGGAGGGGGAGAGAGAGGAGGGGTGCGCGGGGGCCATGGTTTGCTGGCGCTGAGTAAGACCAAAGAAGGAGGGAGGCGATGCGGGAATCGGGAATGGTTTGTTGAGGCTTCTGTGGATGTGCCGCGGAGCGATGTTGACCGAGCTTCTACAAGTGGTACAGTTGTTATTGCGTAGAACGTCACAGCGAGAAAGGCAATGCGATAGGGAATGGGATTGTGTGTGCAGTTTGAGGACAGTTGGGCAAATGTTTATGGCTGCTCACGTGTACGCAGGTGCATGTGTGTATGATTTTTGCAACTGCCAGGCATTTTGCTTTCTGAAGAATCTTGCATCCTGATTACATCAGCTCTCTTGAGCGGGGAGGCATGAAAACACTTTATCACGATCGACATTGTGGGACGCTCTTTGTCTCGATTGACTCAGTCAGTGTCTTTTCAAGATTTTGACGAGCGGTCCGTATTCTCAGAGTTGTCCCAGCGGTTCCCATTGCAGTGCTAAGGCTGCGATTAAGTAGAAGGAGCATTACGGGTCGTGAGGTCTGTGATCATGCTGGTCTGCAGTGGAGTACCTCATCTTACGCATTGGCTGCTTAAATCGGTTGATGTAGAATCGATGCGTCTCCCATCCACTGCGGATGAGGGATGATTGCGACCTCGTGCCTCCCAACTCATCATCGCAACGAACGACGTGAAGCAAGCCGCGGATTGAGCCGACATATTGCACATCAATGTAAGCGAGATTTGTCATTTCCGTAGACGTTTCAGCTTCGCAAGCAGGTGCTCCTGGAGAAACAGTTTCATCTTCTCCCTGTTGTAATTCTACGACCACATGCTGATATGCATGACACACGACGACAGGTATGACACGTGTAAAAGCAAAAACACTCCACGTGACGAGCTGAGCAAGTTTGATTTTCAACGTGTACACGTGTGATTTCTGTACACGGTTGCACTCTACAGTACTTCAGGAGCACGTTTGGTTTTCGACGTGTACACGTGTGAAATATGTGCACGGTTGCGGTGTACTGTACAATCTGAGCATGTTTCATTTTCTCCGCCCGACACGTGTATGACCTGGACACATGTCCTCATTACACTGTCGGACGTGTACAGTACGCCTGTAGTCTTGCAGACAAAGTGTAGAACCTTGGTGGCGGGTGCCTGGCACGTGCCAAATGTTTACAGCGTCCATGGAGTGCAGCACGGGTACAGCAGGACACAAAGATACCGTTGCGCGAGTTTTGAATTCGTAAGGCAAAATGTGCACTGTTGTAATTGACAGTGGACAGGACCTCACGAGAGATTCAGATTCATAAGGCAACGTGTGCGCTGTAAACAGTCCTTGCAGGATTGATTTGAATTCGTAAGGCAACGTGTGAGCTGTGAACGTGCCTTACGAATTTGTGCCACGCTGGATTTGGAATAGTAAGGGAATTTGTGCTTTGCTGTGCTTTGTTGTACTGCCTTACTAATTTCTCCGTCATGACAGTGCTAATTCGTAAGGCGGTTTTCTGTTCTGTTTGTTGGGCCATCGCCAGTTTGGCTGAGTAGCAAGACGGGCACATGTGTTAGAGCCAATACATTTGTAGTATGTGTGTCGTAGTGTTTGGTAGTAGAGTTCTAGAAGATTGCAGAAGTGTATAAGTAGTGCCAGAAGTTGGCGACTCAAAGTAAATCGGTACCCAATCCTTCAACTTAACCTCATCAACCGTCCTCCGATTTCCCTTTGCCCCGCTGACCTACCATTACTCCCCTCACAGCCCAACGAAGTTTCACGCAGTTCAAGGCGCGGTCAACGGCATCGATTTCGTCCCCGTGAACACGATCGTAGTACCGAATGAAACAAATCTCGATGTCATCTCTCTTCACAGATGCCTCAGCCAGGAGGTGACCCCGTCGCGGGATTTTGATAGCGATAAAAGCCAGTACTTTCGCAATGTAGACCTTTCGAGGCACAATTCCGCCAGTGCCTCCCGGCGGATCGTCGCCACTCTCCTCAATCATGACATTATCCTGTCTCGCTACTTTGCTGCTGTAGTAGCTGTGTGACGAGACGGCACGCTGCATCTCTCTGTCTCCATTGTCCATAGTTAAAATCTCAAAGTCGCGAGCGCCGTTCTCAGGCGCCTTATTGAAAATGTGCGACCACATGCTGTTATCTGAAAAGGTCAAAATCGAGTGACACGTGTACATGACTGCACGGTCCGGGCGCTCTTACCCATATCACGACATGACACGTGTAAAATCCCAGATTTTGGGGTTCCGGGGACGAAAGTGGCCTCTCGGAGGGTCATGCAAATTTGCATAGTTTTGCCAAGTGGAACCTTGGCCCGTAGCACTATAGACTACACAGGAAATACTGCAATTCTATTGGCCCTCAGGTCTAATGCTGCAAATCTATTGGTCGAGCGTTGTCCACGTGTGCGTCATTGGCCTTGTGATGTACTTTAAATGGCCTGTATATGCCATAATTACGTTGTTTTGGGGGTTTCAAGTGGTTTGCCATGGTTGTAATGGGTAATTGCATGGGGCTCCCGGGCGGGACACATGTATGCCGTGTACACATGTACACGTCGCCAGGTGGATTCGTGTACGTACACATGTACACGCACGCATCCAGGTGTATGCACATTGTTGGAAATCTTCGACCACATGCTAAGCTCCAAGCCTGACAGATATTACACGTGTACGTCGACGAAACCTAAAATGCTTGCAAGAGCATTCTCAGGATGTTTGGTCTTCAAGGTGGACACGTGTCATATTTGTACACAGTTGCACTTTCGTATCATTTCCGAGCATGTTTCAATTTTGGTGTTGACACGTGTAAGTTATGTACCTCGTGGCACTCTACAGTACATTCTGAACATGTTTCATTTTTCTCGATTTGACACGTGTGTGACACGTATGACGTATGTGCCACAGTGGTTATTAATCGTATTGTAAAATCTGTAATCTACAGTACAGTACATTCAGATATTATTGACTCTCAAACGGTCCCAAATTATTAGCAAGAGAGAGTGCAAGAAGGAGAGTCATTTGATTATCAACGGAGAGTGGAAGTAGGAGAGTCACTTGATTATCAACCGAGAGTGCAAGAAGGAGAGTCATTTGATTATCAACGGAGTGGAAGTAGGAGAGTCACTTGATTATCAACCGAGAGTGCAAGAAGGAGAGTCATGTGATTATCAACCGAGAGTGGAAGTAGGAGAGTCACTTGATTATCAACCGAGAGTGCAACAGGGAGAGTCACTTGATTATCAACCAGTGCAAGAACGAGAGTCACGTGACCAGCCCTAATGGCTCGTATTGTATGTAGTTCGAAGAGTATAAGTAGCG